CACTACATACTGATATACACCTGAACATCAGCAGGAGAGGACTCTTTAAAGTAGAGACTCTACATACTGATATACACCTGAACATCAGCAGGAGAGGACTCTTTAAAGTAGAGACACTACATACTGATATACACCTGAACATCAGCAGGAGAGGACTCTTTAAAGTAGAGACACTACATACTGATATACACCTGAACATCAGCAGGAGAGGACTCTTTAAAGTAGAGACACTACATACTGATATACACCTGAACATCAGCCGGAGAGGACTCTTTAAAGTAGAGACACTACATACTGATATACACCTGAACATCAGCAGGAGAGGACTCTTTAAAGTAGAGACACTACATACTGATATACACCTGAACAGGTCCCTTTATAATAAAATACTATCTAATTCATTTCAATCTTAATAATGAACTTACTCAAATCAAGGATGTTCTGTGTGTGGTTGTTTCGTAACACACATTCAAAGCTTCAAACGGAAACAGGGAAAAAAGAAGCTTCAAATAAAGAAAGCATGACATTTAGCACCGTCCTAGATACAGCAATCCAGACCTTTTGGCTTTGTGTGAAATCAGAGCGCTGTCGTCTCCTGTCTGGATGAAAAGCTTGAAAACACTTGACACAAAACATCAGTTCCTCCCATCCTATGCTCCTGAACGCCTCGCAGCTGACTCTCTTTCTGTTTTACCTTCACTTCTCCACCTCCTTTCTCCTCACTGTGTTTGCAGGGACTTCAATAATTAGATCAGAGGCAGCAGGGTAATGTTTCCCCCGTCAGATAAACCCCTTTAGCGTTATCGTCCTCGCTTTAAGGTTGTAATCGCAGAACTCGATTACCCCACGAGGATTACTGAACCTCCTGGAGGCGCCTCCACAGATTAGTGATGTCCTGCTCGGCCATATGTGCACCAAACGCTGCTAATATTTAAATTATATAAGTCTTCCATGCAATACGAGGGGAGTCGTGCAATTTAATGTATTATTTATTTATGTACATATTCCCTATCATGTCTATTTACGTCCCATTTCTTGTTTTTATAGTGTCTTGTTGTTTTTATGTTGTCTTGTTGTTTTTATAGTGTCTTGTTGTTTTTATATTGTCTTGTTGTTTTTATATTGTCTTGTTGTTTTTATGTTGTCTTGTTGTTTTTATGTTGTGTTGTTTTTATGTTTTTTTGTTGTTTTTATGTTGTCTTGTTGTTTTTATGTTGTCTTGTTGTTTTTATGTTGTGTTGTTTTTATGTTTTTTTGTTGTTTTTATGTTGTCTTGTTGTTTTTATGTTGTCTTGTTGTTTTTATATTGTCTTGTTGTTTTTATGTTGTCTTGTTGTTTTTATATTGTCTTGTTGTTTTTATAGTGTCTTGTTGTTTTTATAGTGTCTTGTTGTTTTTATGTTGTCTTGTTGTTTTTATAGTGTCTTGTTGTTTTTATGTTGTCTTGTTGTTTTTATGTTGTGTTGTTTTTATGTTGTCTTGTTGTTTTTATGTTGTCTTGTTGTTTTTATGTTGTCTTATATTGTCTTGTTGTTTTGATGTTGTCTTGTTTTGATGTTGTCTTGTTGTTTTGATGTTGTCTTGTTGTTTTTATGTTGTCTTGTTGTTGCGTGTTGGCACCTTGAGTTCATTGTAATGTCGTTGTACCTGTACAATGACACATTAAAGATCTATCTAATATCCTGCCGGCAGATATGAGGAGAACAAGCTGTGTTTTGGGGGTGTTTGGTGACAGGGTTAGGGTTAGCCTTCACATTAGAGAAAAGGAGGTGTTTCATCTTGTAATCAGTCATAAAAACCTGCCAATAGAACAAGTGAACATTTGCTTGGTAAGATTTCTTGAAATGAGACGGGATATTAGATAAATCAGATCTTGTAATTAGATGGAAATCTTTTTTGTAACTATATTTTTACCAGGATCAGAAGCCTGTACGACGAAGCCGGTTCAACCTAACCTGGATATGTTTGAGTTAGCCGGTTGGCCTAATCCAAAACATACGCGCTCTCGCTAAACTGTACTACGACGCGGGTTATCAAGTGGATCGCTCAAGCCAGCCGTGTCCTATCTAGTTAATAGAAGTACTCAGGTCTTGTACTTGAGTAAAAGTAGAAGTACTCAGATCTTGTACTTGAGTAAAAGTAGAAGTACTCAGGTCTTGTACTTGAGTAAAAGTAGAAGTACTCAGGTCTTGTACTTGAGTAAAAGTAGAAGTACTCAGGTCTTGTACTTGAGTAAAAGTAGAAGTACTCAGATCTTGTACTTGAGTAAAAGTAAAAGTACTCAGATCTTGTACTTGAGTAAAAGTAAAAGTACTCTGTTACAGTAAAAGTCCTGAATTGATAATGTTACCGTGAAGTAAAAGCACACCATTTACCTCTGAACTGTAGTGGAGTAGAAGTACACAGTAGCATACAATGGAAATACTCAAGTTAAGTACAAGTACCTCAGAATTATACTAGTACTTTATAAAATGTACTTAGTTACTTCCCACCTCTGATTAGGTCTTGTATCGAGCGTAAAGACATATTCTGACTTGAAATCAGACGAATATACTTGGCAATAGTTCACGTTTTTGCGGTGTGGAGATATGTCACCAACAGGACAGAAGAACACGATGACAGTGAGTCTCTTTAAGCCGTCACTCATTGAATTTCCTGTTATGTGTTGCTCAGCAGCAGTTCTGGACATAAAGGCGCCGTCTCCACTCCTTCAGCCTGATTCTGTTCCCTCAGCACTTAGCGCCTCGAGACTAATGCAAAGACCATCAGGCTTTACTGGAGACGTTAGTAATGGCTTCTATCTTCCTGTTTCCGCAATAACAATGGCAGCAGAACAGACAATGGGAGTCTGTCGGCCAATCAGTGGCAGCCCAGCAGGGTCTTTCTTGGGTGTTGACCTACTTAGGCCTGTGTGTTGCCTTCACTGTAAACACTCACAATCTTGCTAAGTATATGAGTCTAATATCTAGTCAGAATATGTCTTTGCACTCGATATAAGACATTAACTGAAGAGGGAACAATGGAGTGAGATATAAGGTCTTGTTTTTAGACAATGCATCTTCAAGACTCTTGAAAACATCTTATTTTGAGTTGAATCTCAAATGAAACATGTTTTTTAAGCTGCTGTGGTTTTTGTAAAAGATGGTTCATCTTGTTTTAACAAATGCATCTTACTTGATTTAAAATAATAAAATAAATTAACAACTGAA